CAACAACATAATTTATTTACTATTATTAATCAAAAGTTCAATGTCGATAAAACAGTTGGAGGATACAATCATGTATTCGAAAGAATATTTGGTAATGTCTTATTATCCAGGTTATGAGATGTACTAGTGCGTGGCACTTTAGATATAGATGAAAAAATCGAAAAAACATATTTTTGTTAATAGGTTTTCCAGAAACCTTTTGAAAAACTTTAGAGTTTTGTAAAATTTCTTTCGAGATCTCCTATATATCAACTCCATCTATTAGGATATTTTGGAGTCATGCTTAGCATAGGAAAGCAGAAAAGCAAATAATTTGATTAATAAATATATAGTCTTAATATTAAGTATAAAGAAATTGTTCATTTTAATCTTTTTGTTGTTGTTTATAAAAATCTGACGGTAAGGTTGGAAGTATTCTTAAGGCGTTTATAAAATCTATATTTTTAGCGTGTAATTCTTCTGCTAAAGATTCATCTATATCCAAAGTGCCACGCACTAGTACATCTCGACGAATTGCATTGTTAGTTGCTAGACGAACAACTTGTTCCACGTGTGCACCAGTCAACCCATTTGTTCCCCGAATGATTCTTGCAATATCAATATCATCATCTAAAATCCCATTTTGAAGCATTAACTTTGTGTCGATATTGTATATTTTTAATCGATGGTCACTATCAGGTAAACCAATTTTAATCACATTTTCTAATCGACCTGGTCTGATAAGAGCCGGATCAATTGAGTCTTTCGTATTTGTCGTACCAATAATTAAGAAGTTATTAAGTTGATTAAGACCATCAATTTTCGTCAACAAGTGTGTAGTGGCATTCTCTTCGACTGTGTGACGGATACCACCACCAGTTGTTGATCTCGTTTTACAAAGTGCATCTATTTCATCAAAAATAATAATGTGTAGATCACTGTTCGCACTATATTTTTCTGCGTCGAATTCTGCTTCATGAAACAAATGTCTTATTTTTGCTTCGGATTCTCCTAACAAATGGTTACATATTTCGGAGCCGTTGACAATCTGTGGTTTTACTCTTAAAACTTCACATATTGTTCGAGCAATCAGTGTCTTTCCGGTACCTGGTGGTCCACTAAGTAATATCCCTCGTGAATGTTTCATTCCTGTTTTACGAATAAAATTTTGAGGATATAACCTGGATAATAAGACATTACCAAATATTCTTTCGAATACATGATTGTATCCTCCAACTGTTTTATCGACATTGAACTTTTGATTAATAATAGTAAATAAATTATGTTGTTGAACATGTATTTGAACGGACTATTTGTGATATAATTTAAGTTTATAACGTTTTTGTTGACGATCATTAACGAGGGAACCTCACCAACTGATACCCTCTGTTTGAGCTCATACTCTGCTCATAGGTAGGACTCATAGTGTAGATAAAAACTCAAGTCATTGATGAAAAACTACAATACGAACAAGATTCTGAAAATAGTGATAGATGTGCTAGTTTTCGATGTATACTGTTTCCTTCGAAACCGGACGCAAAATAATTTGCGCGATTTGCTATGAAATCTATCCTGATTGCACTTTTTCCTTCATAATAAATAAAAGATAAAGGTTTTCTGTGATAATGACATCAT